GCTTTAAGGGCTCATTGGCAGTTTTATCACAGAGCAGCGTATTCTCCGTGAAGGCAGAGATGGAAAGTGTAGATGCAGAGGACGGATTAATGTTGTTTATTTTAGCTGATTACTTACTAAGTTTGTGATTACTGTTCTTTCTTTTCGTTGATCATTGTTATTTTAATTAACATACTGTAAAGCCAGTGTTTTAGTACTTTAGATGTAATTAAAGAGAGGGTGACTTACATACATACAATCTACTATGGTACATTATGCAAAAGTGTAGTGGATATGGCTATATACAAGCATGATTGCAGCTTAAACTCAAATATTCCTGAATCTCTACTCATGAGACTGGAAAAACCTCATGTGCTGTCTTCCTGATAGAACCCTTGCTAGTGGGGATTTTTTATGCACTACATTTTTTGTGCGTTTCTCTGCAATAAAAGACAAAGCACATTGAGTCATACATTCAAAACATGGAGACACTTCAGTCCCCAGGGTCTGAGGGTATGATTTTCTTTGTCCTAAAGATCATTCCCACATTGTGTAAATTATGCAATAAGTGTTAAAGTTTCAAAAAATGTAACCTTAGCAGGGAAAGCGTGAGGTTGAGTAAAGGAAGTGAGCCTTCTGTGTTTACGGTTCAGTGGATGCGTTTAAAACAAATCAAGCATGTAATGTAGTGTCTTTACTCCTAAAATATAGCACTTTTACTCCTTTCTTACTTGTCACGGCATTTCATATAGACTGTGTTCTTTTTTTTGTTATATTAGTTTTAGAAACTACAAGGCCACCAAGGTGTTAAATTAAGTGTTTGGATCTCCAAAAGAACAACAGAGGTCTGCTTTTCAGTGGGATTTAACTCTTACTGAGGAGCATATTGACAAATCCTCTTCATTTTATCATGGAAGATTGCTCCAAAATCAAATTGTGACCTATATATATCCCATTTACCTGTAAAAGATTAATTGCAATCACACCTTAGTTATTGGATATTATTAACTGGAGTTCGGGAGCATAACAATGAAAGGGAATTGCACACAGCTGTTATTAATCACAAATATTACAGAACTTAGCTCTGTCAGTTGAACAGAAGCAGCTCACTTCACATTTCGTCTTAAAGCCCCATCTCAATCCTTGCAGCTGCGCCTGGGTCACTCCTCTCTGAATGGGGTTCAAGCCTCTTCGTCTTGTGGCCAGGAAGATACCCATTAACCAAGAGGATTAAGCCAAGCCTATCTCAAATAATCCAAGCCGTCACATGGCCTGACCTAGGCCTAACGCAGTAGGTCTGAGATGCTATAGTGCTGGTTTGCCGTATTCCCTTGTGGAAAGTGAGGTTACAGCTGCAGTTCAGGAAACTTGCCGTTCCTGAGGTATAAAAGGGCACGTCTGTCAGTGAACACTGTCCATAGGGCCACATTTTGTATGGCTGAAATTTATGGGCCATATTTGTAATAAAACTAGATGGCACTTCTTTAATCAATAGATGAAATTAAAAGAAAAAATAGAGCACAGTTGCTTGTACCATCTGGGAATAATTCAAAGACGTCATTAACATTCAATTGAACGCACACTGTTCTGCTCCATGGGCATAGTTCATGAATATTAATGTAAATAAATGATCCATTTCAGGAACATATTCAAATATACAATTTTGTTATATGTACACAGTATTCAGAAAATCATATATTGGCCCTTGGGCATTCACCACTGCAGGAAAGGGTAGCAGACTGCTGGCCATAATGTGATATCCTCTCCTGGGCCTGTACTACTACAAGCTATTCACATAACAATATATGCGTCTTCCTCACTATAGGAACATCACAGCAGTGTATGCTCTGCTTTGTATGAACGGAGTATTAAACTGTCCTTTTTCATCTGTCAGAACAAGCCAAAGTCTCCTTATTATGTGCTTGAATAAGAACAATACATTAATGATTTGTCATGGCGACTGTTAGAGGGTGTGTCTTCTGGTGCCTTGAGCAGTTGCTCAGAGGCATTTCAGGATATGGTGGCTGGTTCCTTATTCAGCCATGTAGCTGTAGAACTGAAGCACACTTCTCCACAAAGTCTTTCAGCATGAGTCACAGCCAAGGAGGAAATTACCTGTCACCACCCTTAAGCTCACCTGTCTCGTTTCTGGAGTCACGCAGGGGCTGTATATTTTACCTGGCTTTTCAGTAAACGTCTTCCCCCCTTTTGTCTAGTAAATAAAAGCCCACATTCCATCTCAGAATACAGAAAGGTCCAATTACATGCTAGGGAGCAGTTACTTTCAGGATCAGCAGGTGATGCTTCAGAGAACTATACAGCAAAGCGTGCAGTTAGAGCCCTGTACAACAATGCATCTCCTCAGGTGAGAGTAAAAGGCATTTTCTCACAGAAAATGCAGAAAATGCACTTTAAGAACTAGAAAAAATGTACTGATTGCAATTGTGTTTCTATTTGATGTCGTCTTATCTCTGCTTGGTGATAGTAAGGTCTACAGTTCATCCTGTGACTCTGAATTAAAATCATAATACTTTACGTCAGCCCATTACGCATGACGAATTGTTTATTCCTAAATTCATTACCATCTAAACATCGTGTTCACGTAAACATTACTTTACCGAAAAGGCCTTCCATAGCAGCCCTTCTTTCCAGAAAGTTTGTTTAAAGTTTATGACTTTGTAGTTGTGTAGTTTTTTTCATCTAGTGTGTATCATACCCAACAGAGTGGAGGAGGTGGATGGGTGAAAAATGCAGAATAAACCAGCAATGCCAATACACATTTGGGAGTGATCATCTAATGCTAACATAACACAGACGCCTGCATTACAGTCACTCGTCTTCACTCAAGTTTTTTTCACGTTTTATTTACTCTATAGGAAGTGCTTCCTGGAAGAATTCAGAATGCTAACATTATTGTTCATAGTAAGAGAAGTAGAGCTATTTACTCAGATTGGGCTGGTTGTGTCAACAGAGCTCTCTAAAACTATTCTGCTTTGACGTTAGAAATTGTGTAAATGGTCTGCAGAACTAAACCATTGTTTCAACCAACTAAACCAACAAAAACTAAACCAACGTCATAGACTGCTGTGACTCAGGACGTCCCTGAAGAAAATGGGTGTATATTAGCCTCTAGATGAGGAATAGATGGCTATCATATCTGCAGTCCATTGTGCAGAGACCTCTCACCTTGCTGTAGGTCACATTCCTCCTAGAGCTCCCTACTGAGTAGAGTACACAAGCCATGATGTGGGCTCTGACTTCATCGTGGGGTTGGTTTACATAAAAAGAAAGATTGGAACAATTTTCCTGTTTTAACTGTCTAAATACTAGATTAAAAGCATAAATTTGTTTCTCTTTTGAAAACTGGTTGTTGGGTAACACCACCAATATTAATATGATGTAGAGGCTCATACCATTTAGAAGGTGTATCCTCTCCGCACTGCGCTGCCATCACTGCAGTGCTCAATAAATGTGTTTCGTTCTCTTGTCATTCAGAACACATAAATTCAGTATGGATTCGGACATGCTCTCATCAGGATGGTACTGTCAGCTTTTATCTGAGAAATTTACATACACATTTTGGATATAAAGGTTTGAAATCCACTAGTGATAATCAAACATCTGTAATCAATACGTGATGTGTTTCACCTGTGTTTTCTTGAACACGATAAGCAGGTACAGACAATCGGAAGTAGCCTTCAAATCAGCGACTTTATTTGACATTTATGTGGATAAATATCTATCCCATTTTCCCACCAGTACTCCACTTCACTTGGCAATACTTTCACCTCATATATATGAGCATGCTTTCACCCTTGATTATTAATAACACAGTGCTAATAGATTGATTCGTTTGAGTATGACAGATTGTGATTTTGCTATATAAAGTGCAAGAACTCACATGACCCTTTCTTGAACCTGTCGCTTCCTCTTGAATATAAGATGATAAAACATCTTGTCTGTGTGGCACTTCATACTGTCTTCTCACTTCATTGTTAGAACAGTTGACTTTGAGCAGCACAAGGTGGTGACTGCACACTTAAAAGGCACCACAGGTTCACCAGTCTTACTGGTTGGAAGGATCAGGTGTTCCAGTGCCACCAGAGGGCACCCAAACAGAGAGTACGTACCTCTTAGGCGTAGGTTAATCAGACCTCGTTAACCCATCACCACGCCTCCCCGGGGTGGATGAGGTACATATTCTCTGAGTATGGGTTTAAGTGGAGGAGGGTACGTGGATGAGGTACGTGCCCCCCTCCACTTAAACCCAGCTCTCTGGCCCCACAGTGCTCAGTGTTGGTTTATACCTTGAGAGCTACTCTTCTGTGATATCTTCCCTGGTCCTCTTCTCGGCTTTTGGATTTCTGGATTGTCTTTTGACCTTGATTTTTGGAATCTGTTTTGGATACCTTTTGTTGAGTCTTCTTTTTGGCTTCTTGACCTTTTGCTAGTCTTTTGACTTTGACTTCGGATTTCCCTGTTTATTCCGTATTTTTTTGTGATATCTTATCTGCATAGGGTCCCTTTGCAAATAGCTACCCAGCAGCATAACATCAGGATTGCCAGTAGGGCGTCATGTAACACAGTTACATGTTATCATGTAAAATCCCGTTAACACAGCTGGGTGTCCTGGTGTCATCGAAGACCAATAAATACAATTCCACACAGGAACTCCTAATATATGGACTGTGAGGACAGAAAAAAATAAAAAAAGATCAAATCAGTACTCAGAAACGGTATTTCATGGAGTTTCTTTTAGACATTCTGTTGTTTTCTTTTTAACACTGGAGATTAAGAGCTTAGCTAGAAGAAAACCAGCAAACAGTATTCCCCCAGGGCCAGAGATGAGACCCACAGCTATTTTCGCTATGCTTTAAAAGGAACATTCCATTAATGGCAAGCTATTTTAGTGACAGTGCATGTTAGTCAATTTGGCTAAGTTTTTTTTTCTTGTAGAGCTCCTGGGTACTGAAAGTTTCCCACTCATTCAACTTCTGCTTTATTCACTTGTACTCTTGCAGGTCATACAGGGTGCTGTGATTGGAAGGATGACAGCTAAGTATTCTGAAAGCACACTGCTCCTGCTGTCCATTAGCATCACAAGCCTGGTGGGATTGGCACAGGTACATTTCTGCTGACCGCTTTTATTTAATACAGTTTATACTCACTATGCACAATCCTTTGTCCACTTGTAGGTGCTCAAAGTAAGGTAGACCTTAGTAAGACAATGACTAGCAATACTAGAGAAGGAGGTCGGGTCTAAACTATCGTCAAATCGGATCATAGTCATCAACAAAAGTAATCTGCATTTTGTGTTTAAAAAAAATCCTACTAAAAAATCCCTACAAAACATTAAAATAAACCAACAAAAACCAACAAAAATGTCAAATATTTTATTACATTGATGTGCAATTATGCAGCTTATGTTCCTGTATTCTTATACATTTTAAAAACAACTTATACCAACACCCACCTACTGTAGGCATCGCTTTTTGCCATGTGGCTCACCGTGCCTCTATGCATCTGCGGCACCAGCTCCAACATTACTGTAATTCCATCACTGCCAGCATGTCTCTGGATTCTGCACATTTAAACTGGTCTGGTTCTTTCAGACCCCCTCTGGCATGCTAGAATTAAAATGTTGGTTTCTCCTCGGGGAAGACTAACATCTTCCTTTTCAGCTCCTTTTTTTTACTGTTCTACTCTCACACAAGCAACACTAGTGCTTTTGAATTCACTCAGTTACAACTTTTTTTGTTGATAAAAAGCACAAGTCTTAAATTGTAGTCAATACACACTGGATAATTCAACTTTCTCACCCATTTGCAATAGTCACAAAAAACTATGATCCCTATTTCATCATCTAATGGCAAGTTCTCACTCTTTACTTTCATAAACACTATAAATAACTACAGTGCATCTATTCACCAAGCACCAGATCTTCATTAGCAATCACTAGCTTTTCCAGTCTACAATTCTTCGAGCTGATCCTGTTTGGCCAGGGACACCACTCAGTAATTATAACTTGAACTTGCGCCTCTGACACAGCAGCAGGTGCTTTGTTCTTGTTTCTCCAAATCTCACAGTCTGAGACCCATATTCCTAAATTGTACTTTCTTGACTTCCCTATTTCACAGAGTCTCACAAGCCAGTGAACCACCTCAAACAATTACTAACGAGCCCAGCCTTCGGCACAGCACTTACTCACTGGAATCTAGATGCACTCTGAATTCTTTTTCCTCTTGGCAGTTCTTGTTAATCTCTTCATTAGCCAAAAGTCATGACTAACTGCATACAGGATCTATCACGCCAGCTGCTTTCCCTCATGAGGAATTTCACTCTCTCTGTGTGCTAATTACTCAATCACACCAGGTGTGCCTCATTCTACAGGTTTTGTAAATAACAGCACCTCTCACTAGCTCAAAATATTCAGATTTTTGACCATATATTTCTGCCATTTTTTTAATAAAAAGGCATTTTTGTATACTGCAAAACACCCTGTGTCAGAAGACTGAGTTTCTAGTCATAGATGAGATGTGCACATGCAGTGCAGTCTTATCCTTTACAATGCAGCGGAATAGGAGCAGCAGTGAGTGTTTGGAATTGTTACTGCACTGAAAGTCAACAACCAAACTAGATCATTTTGTATTTCGTGCAGATGATGCAGCAAGTATTTCTTGAATGCTCACATGCCATTTGTAACATTTGTAGAATGCCAGGATACAGTTATGCAATTATGCAAGGCAGGCAGATGTCACCTGGTACAAGGAAAAGAGTTAGTGAAGTGCCTTCAACAATAAAGTTGGCTTCTTTTAATGTGCTTTGTGTCTATGCTAAATATTTTACTACCCATTGCAGTGCAAAAAGCAAACTACAAAACTAAAGAAGAACTAAAGAAACTAAGGCAGTAAGTGTCGGGTTACCTAGCCTTTTACAAGATCACATGTTTGTTTTTTTTTCTCCAAGAATTGTGCATACCGGACATTCTGATGTGCTGTGCTAAGCTGTTGCTATAGGAAGCAGCCTCACAACCCTTAACCTTTGTCAGTTATTACCCCACCCCCTGAAGGCCTGCAGGATGTCATGTGTCCTTAGTCTGTAATTACCAGCTCTCTGAAACAAATGGCAGACAGTTGGTTAACTATTCAGATCACTGGTGTTTAAAGACGATACTGCCAGCCATCTCCTCAAGCACAGGAAACCTATAGCCAGAGTCACAGTCGGTTTCCTATAGCCAGAGCTCACAACAGCTGTGCTGAGGTCACAAAATCGTTATTTTCTAGCACGGAAATCTTCCATCTGGATATTCCTTCTTACACTCATGATGAATTTAATTCCCCCTTTAACTTATCTTCCAGCTGCTGTACTTAACGTGGAGCCTGTTTCCAGGCCCCATTTCCATGGTTTCAACTTTTTTCATCCCACAGTGAAAGCATAGTTCCAGTTCTAAATTGAACTTCAATTTGTCCTAACAGCCCTCCTGGGTGAGGTATTTCTCTGATCCCTAATCCTAATCCTCCCCATACGATCCAAGACTCTAAAGCCATGAAGCAGCAGACAATATGGATGATGTAACTACTTGTGAAATTCCATTAAAATAAGGGCATCAAGCTGGCAGAAGATAAGAAATAACAGAGACAGAGGAAGGATTAAGAATGTCCCCTCTAAGTGGAAATAGTGGAGCTGAAAGAATGCCTTTATGTTCAGAATGCCTTTACAGGAGTCTGACTGAGTCCCTGTTTGAAAACTCTGAACAGGCTCTAGCGCTGTTAAATTTCAATAGAGTTTTAATTGGGTGGCTTGAGACCCCCAAATTTCCTTACTTCCTTTACCCAAACTCTCACGCAAGCACAAGTGTCAGGTGTCTAACACACCTTCCCAATGCTGTTGCTATGCGGCCGTCCCCCTCCCTGGTAACCACCATTGCATCAGCCTCTTGGCTCTGTCCACTGCTGGGAGTGGTCCACTGGTCTCGTCCTGTGGCCTGGCCGTTGCTCCCTCAGCCAAGCAGGCTGAGCCAACTCAAAAAGATCTTTTGTTTGTTTAATTGATCAAGCTCCTGAACCGTAAACCTTCATTGGGTGTAACAGAGACTTAAAGGTGATAAACAGTTATGCTGTGTAGGAAAAAGGTCATCATCTTACTGGACTTTTTATTGTTTTACTCAACATGTAAGAGTCTTTTTAAGATATTCACCTTTTTCACAAAAGGTACACTCTAACCCCTCTTGGTCTTAAAGAAAGCCGTACGATTGAATTTGTTTGAAATCTGATGATTTTGTGCTGAACTTTTTCTTAATAAATGTGAATTCTTTATGGGTCCATTTTGATGAAATTGGGTCAAAAAACGATATATAATTTGTAAACAAATCAGTTTTCACCTACAGTATAAAAGCGTGTGTCTAGGGTTTTAATTCTGAATGTCCAGGTATTCACTAATGTTCCTCTGTTTCAGGCCTTCATGTTCAATGTGATCCAGTTTTGCTTCATTGTAATTCCAATGATGTACTCATTAAGCACATTCAATGTCATCACTGACAGCATGCTGACAAAGAGTGTTCCTGCCTCTGACTCAGGTTAGAGATTTTCGTTTATTCCTTTTTAGTTTTCAGACACTGGTGTACAGGGCTGTTAATCTATCAAAGGGAAGATAATAAATTATCACTCAGTCATAGTTGAAAATTGGAATGTAGACTTGATTTCTTTATCTATGTATTATGTAGGATTAGAATGTCTTGTTATTTAAGCACATCAGTTAGTACATTTGGCTGTGAACCGAAAGGCTGGTGACTGTTGCTCACCAGGGTACTGACTGTTTAAGCCAGGCTGCTGTGTTTAATTTGGAACTGCTGTGGGGAGTAATAATTTGGACTCTGAGCATGTGGGTTCAAATCACCAGGTACTGCTGTTGTACCCTTACACACAGTTTACTAAGGTTGTTCTAAATGCTGTGTTATACAAAGAAAGATTGATTTATCTGGTTAAATAAAGAACTATTAGTTACTCTGATAGTATAAACATTGTACACACATGCACAATAAATCACATTCAGGATTAACAAAAACTTTTGTTTCTAGCACAGCCATATCCAAATGTTTATATCTGTGCTAGGTATAAAACCAGTGTTTTCAAGGACACATTTAATTTGTAATTATCCATATTTCTGAAGGTTTTATCAAATACTTGCTTAGTGTGAACTGTTTTCCTAATAGTATTAATTGATTGAAGAACAAAGTGTAAAGCTCATAGGATTATGCTAAAGATCAAGTCTCATTAGATGTATAAAACAAAATCTTTTACATTGATCCCTGAAAGTCCTAACATTGACTGCAGTCCAGTGTGTAAAAAGTAGTACATGAACTTTAAAATCTCAAAATGGTGGTCATCTCTCCATGACACCAGATCCTTCAATCAGACCCTTCTGATTGAACAATGTTCTGTTCAGTGCACTCAATACCTAATTTTGTAGGGAATGTACAATACGTTTTTATAATTGAAATAAAACTCTGTCCACCCCAACTTCACCTTCACAGAAGCTCTTTAGGTTGTTAAATCCAGTGAGGAATGCCATAGCCCCCTTCTCATGGCCAGACTGTTGTGGCCTTAGAAGACGCAAAGCAATTGCACACAAAACCAGGCAGTAGTTGTTTGAAAGCTATTGAAATAGTAATGAAAACAAACATAATCTCACAAATATAGGCCTTGGTGTTGAATGGTAATTGTCATCCCAAAGAATCACAAAGCGCTTCACCTGCACTATAGGAACAGATCCACTTCTTCCATCCCTGAAGCACAATGACTACCTGGGCAGCCCCGCTACGCAGATCAGGTGGACAAGCGGGAAATTGAAGTAAGGGGGAAATTAGATGGGGGAGCGGATTGTGCAAGCCCCGAGAGGAATTAGAGAACATCAGATCATCTGAAGATGGAGATCATTGGAGACCATTTGTCAGCACCACATAATCCTATGGGCTATTGATGTCTTGTGTTACAAGGAGAGAAGGCAATGCTTCCTTTTGAAAGTACTTAACACTTGTTAAAACAGTGGTTTAGTTTGTGATTACATCGTGCAATGAACATGACAAATACAATTCCTACTTGTGGGTTTTTTCCATAGTGAAATGCAGTATTTGCCATTAAAGAGATGTCATTTCTCGTAGGTACAATGTTGGGATTGTGTGCATCCGTCCAGTCCTTCCTTCGCACTATTGGGCCCACTATAGGAGGATTCCTCTACCAGAACTATGGTGTCTCTTCGTTTGGCCACATTCAGTTTGGTGTCAATTTACTGCTCTTCTTCTACCTCATGAAAAGTGGCATTCAAAAACCAGAACAGCGTCAGGGATGAACTCCTACACAGACAGAAGACTGACAACGTGAAAAAGTCATTCCGAATTCACAGGAGAGTAAAGAGTTCAAATCAGAGCAAGAGCAAGCCATTACAAGAGCTTTACCATGCAGTCCTGAATTGGCAGATATATGTGTGAGGGCACTCAAAATCTGATATATATTATTGTCTGCCAATCACAGGATTCCTTCATCATGAAGGAGTCGATCATACAGTATCTCAGCTCTTTCCTGTCATTCTCCCTTCAGACAACCCAAATAATTCATTAAACATCTGTACTGCTATTGACTTCATTTACTGCTACAGTTTAAAAATGTGGTGGCCACACATTGTGTCTGTAGCATAACTGGAATTTCTTCAGCCACAAGCAGAATTCCTCAGAATAAGATAACAATCCAGACAGAATAAAGAGCATGGAGAAATGTCATGGAGTTCAACGTATGCAGTATAAAGGAAAATGCATTGATTACACTTTTAATTTAGGTCAGCTACTATGAAGCAGTGAGAATTTTAAATGTCTAGCAAATAAATAATATATGTGAAGATATAATTCTGAGATTTCTAATTTCAGTAGCAAGATAAAATACAGCCTAGCATTTACGTTTTTTTTTCTATCACCCTAGTTTTGTGTTTGTGATAGTCAGAATTAATTAGGTTAGATTTCTTTTCAAAATCTATTTTCTTTTTGAAGTGTTAGAAGTTCTTATTTTGAAAAAATTTTTAATTACATTTTGTACTGAAGATATGGAAAATAAATCAGTTCAAAACAGCTTGATTATATGAAATTAAAACCTTCCTGTTTGTCCTTGTATTCCTGATTTATTATTAAACCTCATTTCTTCCCAAGGGGATTTAAGTGCAGAAATATTCTGAATACAGAGTTTCTAATTTGCAAGTATTCTTACTTGAAGTCTGGAAGCTGTTGGTTTGATCAAATGGCCAATTTTCCGCCTCAGATCTTGGCTGTCTTTACTGTGGTAAATCACACAGGGATGGTTGCTTAAAAAAAAAAGGTGACCACTCATCAATAAAAGGAACCCAAGTCTGCTATACACAAGAAGGTTACATTGTGTAAGCAGTGAGTGTGGCATTGGTTGCTGTCTTGTATTAGAAACAGTTTTGTGAGTGGTCAGATTCAAAGCAGTTAATCTCACACACTTCCACTTGCAGCCAGGACGTTCCTCCACGTATCTCTCACACACCACCACCCCATCTAAAGCCAACAAACTCCCCAGCTCACTCCTTGTGTTAGTGAGGGGTGGGGGGCAGGTGTTTGGGCAGCCTAACTGTCCTCAGCTAAACAGGTCTCTCCAAGTACTTTGGACGTATTTTGTCTCTCTGATCACTTTCATTAGGATCAAACAGCACCGATGAAATGGTGGGAATCTGTGGGTTTCTGTTCTGCAAAAACTTCAAACATAAAAAGTTTTGGAAAGGTTGCAAATGAGGGGAATTCTCAAGAGGAGCAAAATTTGCATTTGTATTTGTTAGTAGGCAGTTAAGAATCTCGTCCACTTGTTTCCTGAGGGACCCAGGATACCAAGTTCCACCACATGTCTGTTCCAGTCCTATATTCAATTTTAAACGTATTTCCCTGTTGTCTCCACTTGTGTCCTCAGAGTTATGTTTCACTGTTGATCCTGAAGAAATCCACTGGGTTGAATTTATCTAAGACTTTATACTTGAATCAGGAACCCCTGTAGCCTTTTTTAAAACTGAAAAGAGTCATTTCACCTGTCAGTGTGAAGACATTACAGAACGTCTGGGAATATACCTTATCACTCTTATATGGAACAAATCTGGAGCAGCAATATCTTATTTTCATTGTAAATCATGTTCTATTAATGCATTGAACAAGTTTGATATAATTTCTGTATAATTGAATTCTGCACTTAACTATATATCCTAATGTTCTGTTTTTCTATTGCTGCTCTGTACAGGGGCGTAGCCCACCCTGATTGATCCTAGGCATACCCAATCAATCCAAAGAAATTTAAGATTTTTTTTTCCTTGTTTGCGTTACATGATTTGCTTTTGAATTTCCAAATTAGGTGTCTTTTGGCATCGAAAATAGAATACCAAATTTCGTGGGTTTCATACAAGTTTAAAAGCACCATGAAGGGATCAAACAAGATCTTCATACTTTAATATTTTAACCTTATATTTTACCTTCGCAGTTTTTATTCTCACTTATTACTCATTACCCTTGTTGCGATGCATTTACTCCAAGCTCTGAAACCCATACGTGCGCGCACGTTCTTCTGGAATGTTACGCGAAGTCCGCTGAATATTTAAAGGCAAGGTAAACCCCGGATGGTATTTTAAATACAGTGTTTCGGACGCATTTTGCAACAAAATATTCACTTCAGAGTAACTCGTAAAACTACTGAACAATCTAAAAGCAGGCATACGAAATACTTCGGACTGTTACAAGCAACAAGTGAAAATGACTTCTTGCAGCTTTTCTTTAGCCAAAGACAAAGTCCTCACATGAGAGACCTTTCCAAACTAGCTGTCATTTGAACGGGAATTTGCCGACTTTCTAGACAATGACAAGATTATCGCCATATTCAATTCCAAACCCCGACGCCTGCGTCTGGTCTAGAAGGCCAAAACCTCACCGCAGAGGTAGGTACTGATCGTTTTTGTGTGTGTCCGCCGTGGCACAGTAGCGTTCGGCAGCCTAGGTAATTGTTGCTCAACCTGAGTGTGTGTGAGAGGGACAGTTTGTATATACAAAAGGGGCCGCTAATTCGGCTGTTTGATTATACCGCTCGAAGATTGGAGTGCAAATTGGAGGGGTGCCCCTATGCTGGCAGGACGGTCAGTCAG